TTTTGAATAATTTTGGCAGCAGAAAATTGAAAGTGGATTTCGGACAACAATGTTGAGCAACAGAGACTTCGTGTTTCCTTTTGTAACGTATGCCTCATGTTCTTTGACGCGAAATTTAAGGCTCTCTAGTTGCCAATGTAAATTAAACCGCACTGGCAAGGAATCTATAAATACCCCAGGAATTCATATCCGGAATGGGTCCTTAGTATAGAAGTTGAAATTTTATTGATGGAGAGTAAACAACCCGAAAGTTAAATTTCTGCAAAATATGCAATTTATAGCTATTGATGGAAAGAAGGGAATGACAACAGAATTTTTATAATCTCCTAAATAAGGTGTGGCTTTTAGTGTGTGAGATGAGAATTTAACTGCTTGATTAATAATGTTGGGTAAAAAGCCCCTGCAATAGCTATTCTTTTAAATAATTAGTTCTTCATCAGGGCTAGTTGGAGGAGCAAACTTGAAGCCGAAAACATAGGAAAAAATGAAGCTAACTTTTGTTTAGTCGGATGACATGATTAAAGTGTGGTGGAAGGCAAACCGATAAGGTTTACGGTAACTGTAGTCTAAGTTGGATTGTTACTGTGACCAGAATGTCGAGAAACGGAGAGAATTGCAATCTCAAGTTCAAAGTCTGAATAGCAGATCAATAGAATTCATTGTTGAAGAACTTATTTAAATCATCTTTATTACCTTCAAACAGGGTAAAGTACGTCTACGTAGCGGAACCATGCCGAAAGTTTAAAGTTTCAAACAATTTGATTCATAATAATGCATGAGATATCGCCAGGATGGGACTGAGGGGGCTTCCCATGGCTTTTTTCAACTCTGTTTGAAACAAAACATTTTTTTCCAAAAATATATTACAAGCAAACTGAGGGATTAGCCATGGAAGCCCCTCAGTCCCATCCTGGCTGATATCTACATGCGTTATTATGAATCAAAATTGTTTGAAACTTTAAACTTCCCGGCATGGTTCCGCTACATAGACGATACTTTTATCCTGTTTGAAGGTAATAAAGATGATTAAATAGAGTTCTTTCAACAATGAATTCTATTGATCCTGCTATTCAGTTCGCTTTTGAACTTGAGACTTGCAATTCTCTTCCGTTCCTCGACATTCTGTCACACGTAACATCCAACTTCAGTACTACAGTTACCGTAAACCTTCATCGTTTGCCTTCCACCACACTTTAAATCATGTCATCCGACTAAACAAAAGTTAGCTTCATTTTATTCCTATTTTCCGTGCTCTTCAAGTTTGCTCCTCCAAACTAGCCCTTGATGAAGAACTAAATTATTTAAAAGCAATAGCTATTGACAGGGGCTTTTCACCCAACATTATTAATCAGCAGTTAAAAAATTCTCATCTCAACACTAAAAGCCACACTCTTATTTTAGGAGATTATAAAAATTCTGTTGTCATTCCCTTCTTTCCATCAATTAGCTATAAAGTTGCACATATTTTGCAGAAATTTAACTTCGGGATGTTTACTCTCCCATCAATAAAATTCCAACTTCTATACTCAAGGACCCATTCCGGATATGAATTCCTGGGGTATTTATAGGATTCCTTGCCAGTGCGGTTTTAATTTACATTGGCCAAACTAAGAGAGCCTTAAAATTTCGCGTCAAAGAACATGAGGGATATGTTACAAAAAAGGAAACACAGAAGTCTTCTGTTGCTCAACATTGTTGGTCCGAAAATCACACTTTCAATTTTTCTGCTGCCAAAATTATTCAAAAAACATCTTCCATTGGAGAACTGGATTTTCTAGAGGCATTTCACATTCAAAAAATCTTTCTGTTCTAGTTAACGATCCTAATTCCAATCCAAATTTGCCTTCGGCTTTTAGAGAAATTATGTTTTAGTTCTGGTTTCGCCAACAGATGGCGCCACTTGCTTATTCTTGTCCAGGCTTTCTTATCTTACCTAAAGATTATTTCCTATCTTGTTCATTTGCGGTTTTGCAGCTGAAGATGATGGTTCGGTAAAACCATCGAAACTAGTCCTGTGAAAATTTTGTGAATTAACGCTGATTTTTGTTGTTTGACTTCTGAATCAGTATTTATTCGGCGTGTTATTGTGTCTTAATTAAAAGAAATTTGGTTTAATGCAAAATTTACCATCAGTTAGTGAACCTTTTGAAATATTTCTATTGATACTGGTAGGTGGTTAAATATTACAATTCTACTAAAAAGTAATTCACATAATATTGATCATGCAACTAGACTTATCTGGACTTTTGCATCTAAAAGTGTAACTACAGATACTTATATAAATTGCTTAAAAGAAATTTTCCAAATTCAGGTCCCTAAAAAGATTTTAAGTGATAGGAATGCTGCTTTTACATCTTCAAAATTTAAGCACTTTTTAAGGAATCATAATGTAAAACAATTGCTAACTACTGCAAATAGACCCCAGACTAATGGTAAAATTGAACACGTTAATCAAACTATTATAACTAGATTAAAATGTAAACTAAATTCTTATCAAGATAATATAGCATGGACAAAATTACTACCCCAAGTAACTGAAGAGTATAACAATACCCCTCATTCTGTAACAAAATTCCCTCCATCATATTTAATGTATGGAAAATTGCCTTATGATTCCTTAATTCAAAATCAAGAATTGTATCCGTCAATAGAAGAAGCTAGAAAAATAGCTCAAAAGAGATCTGATGATTATCATAATGTAAATAAAGAAAGATATGATACTCATTTTAAACCTAGTAATTTTAAAATTGGTGATTTAGTAATGTATGAAGAATTTCAATACCCTAATACACGTAAATTATCTCCTCCATTCTCAGGACCTTATAAAATTTTAAAACAAGAAGTTACTTATGAAATAGATAAACCTAATCCTTTAACTAAAAAGAAATCAGAAATTGTTCATTCAACTAGATTAAGACCTTTTAATCCAGCAAGTGAGTTTAAGTTAACTGTCAGAAATAGTAGAATTCCTATCTCTGTTCAAAATTAAAATTAATTTTTTCAAAATTCTCTATTAAAAATCTTCCTGATTATGACTTTTAATACCTGATTTAGACTTAAACCCTAATTATGACAAGTTATTTTTCCGACTATGACAAATTATTCTCCCAATCTTGACCTTTTATATTTTTCACATCATTTGAATTATTTCATAGTAAAAATTTTCTTCTTATTGTAGGATAATATTTGTTTCTAATTTACAAAATTGTAAAAAAGACTTTAACTTGATTATACAAGTTATCTGTCTTATAATTTTGATTTTATATGATCTTTTATTTTTCTAAAACCACTTTGAGGTAATGTACAATGCCGAAAACCAGTTACCTTGTATTAGGCAACGGAGGTTTTTCAATATTTGTACCTAGCACCCCCCAACCATCAGGAAGTAATCACGCTGATCTGTTGGCGAGGACATGCCATAGTTTTAAAGTGAAAGTGTTCATGTTCTAGTGTATAATTGTATTATTTATATTGATTGTTTTTTTGAATAATTATAATATTTTTGTATTGAAGTGTAAAATATGTCAATCTTTAATTGCCTACGATGAGAGGAAAAAATGCACATAATATATTATTCATAAATTATATAATCTATTTCTTTTCTAAGTTTTATCTGAAGGAAGAAAAATGTAAAATATTTTCTAATCAAAGCTTACTCTTATGAAAACATATTCAGCGAAAAAAATGCATCATATTTGTGAACTATCAACATGCATCATATTTGTAGACTATATGGCATTTAGAGATTTTACCAGATATTTTCATTCTATTTGAACTCTTTTAATGAAAAGGACTTTCAAAAAACAAAATGGACATTTTTAACAAAATTGAGGACTTTTGTAATTATAACTTATTTATTTATCAGTATTCCATATTTATCATGTTATAGTTTTAAAATTAGTCATATATTGTATATTTATTTATAACTCATAGTTTTAATGTTCCAAAATTTCATATGCTATAAAGTCAAAATTTTATATGAGAAAGTCATGAACTATGATAGGCCATAGTTAAAGCTTGTACGCTATGTTCTGGATGTTTTCATGTCTTTTCTCATCCTTTTGCTTCACTCCTGTACTAATGCTTTTCTCACCCCGGCCTCTCTTTTTGACGGGGGGGGGGGGAAGATGTAAGATAAAAAAAAAAAAAAAAAAAAAAAAAATACGATGGCTTTGCTCTTTGCGAACCAGCAACCTTTAATTAATTTTCTGCAATTCAGGATCTTCCCCTAAACCAGTACCTTCTAGAACATTCGCACCTATTACATAACCTCCTCATATAAATGCTGCGTCATAAGTTCTCCAAAAACAGATGCATTCTCGCCTTCGTCCTGCTAACGCTTCCACTATGCTCCTCTTTCTTTGTTAGAACGTTATGACGTATTAAAGTTTAAAGTCAGTCGTATCTAATAGTTCAATTACTGAATAAGTTATTTGATTAACTTCATCTGGAAAAAATCATCTGCTATAAATTAAAATAAAGATATGCTTGCTGTTAAAAGTGAAAAGTCCTGAGTCGTCATTTTTCTCCGTACTTCAATCATCCCAGCTTTGTCAACCATCTGCCAGAACGTGTAATGGAATAGCCTCACCATTTGCCCGCGATGTGATGGAATAACTGAAAACATTACATACATATGTGAAAATTTACATGCTTTATACTTAATGGTCATTTCATTAAATAGTATGCACCTACTGTAAAAATATAAATATTGAATAAATGTTCTTTTTTTGGGGGGAGTGTAAATTTTTTTAAAAGTATTATTTATAAACAAAGCTTTACCTATGAGTCAAAAAGATAGCCAAACAGAAATAGTATGCATCTGCTGTACAAATATAAATAAATGTTTTTTCAGAGGGGGTAAACAGTTTTTAATTATTACTTATAAACAACCTATGAGTTAAAAAGATAGCCAAATAGATGTTTCCTGCCAATTGAAAAAGTCATGAATGGCTTGGCAAATTTTCATGGGGGTGAATTAGAAAGCACATTTTTCACAACACATTTTTGTTTAATTGGATTTATAAGACATTCATTGTGTTTGCAAGGATTTATTTTATGTATAACTGTAGTTCTTATAATTCTGAATCAAGTGATATTTGAACTGTACACATAATATGGTTAGAAGTGGAAGTTATGGCCAGAAACCCTCTTTCTAGATTTGGTGGCATCTAGTGAGTTTTCAACAACTTGATGGCATTTCAGAAATTTCCAGAAATCTTTCTTTGAATTCTTTTAAATATGTGCACCAGTTTCAATATCTGTAAAACAGTATTTATGATTTATTACTGCTTCTAAATCTGTCATGCAGTACAAATTTCTAAGAATATTAATGTATGATATTTTGCAACATAGTAATTTTTCACATCTTTGTTAACGCAATTCTTTATCTCAAGGATACAATATATATCAAAACTGTGAGAAAAGACAGTCATGATAACTCCAATCATTTCCAGTTGCTTCCTGCCTATGCAAAATGAAAACCACAATACCACTGAACTCTTTCTATGAAATATTTTCATTCTGTGATTTTTAGAATTTATACGTACAGACAAAATTCCTTTCTTAAAAAAGATTTACTGCTCCTTCTACTTCAAAAGGTCAATTGTAAACTTTTACACTTAAAAATTCATAATTATACACAAAAATAATTACTTGAAATATATAATAAATGCAAGCCATTTCTAATTATCTGCCTCCCCAAAAAGTCACTAACTCTTTGACTTGATTATTATAATATAATAAGTGAGCAGCTGTTGTAAAGGAAATACAGTTTTTCTTTAAACCATGTTTTGATCTGATATATTAATTACAGTTTTCGACACTACATTTTTACAAAATTTGATCATTTAGGAAGTAGAGCATTAATTCTGAAGAACTACAATGCTTTCTTTCTCATCCACCAACTCTACAGTTTCTTATCATCCATTATGAGTGCCCCCCCCCAAAAAAAGAAGAAAACAACACTAGAAAGTTCAAAATAGCTGTTAATTAGTTGTAAAGTTAATCATTTAAAACCTTGTGTACTAGAATACATGCATGGATTGATTATTGCCATGTATATGCTCAAACCTCATGTCAGGATATTTTCAGATATGCATGAAACCAGAGGAGCGGATATGCCAAAAGCCTCATTTATTACCAAATCAGGTGTAAGAAAAATAATCTCCCACCAACAGACGTTAAAGCATGGCATTTTGTACTTGATTACAGAAACTTAAATAACATAGCTAAATATCCCATCTATACATTACCAATAATTTAAGAAATTATATGAAAAATCAAATCCACAAAATACTTGATGACATTAGATCTCATCTCTTCTCTATATATTTTCAAATACATGCGAAACCAGAGGATGTGAAAAAAACAACATTTAACATGAAATCAATAGTTTATGCCTTCCTTAATATCCTGCTCAGCCTATGTGGATCCCTAGCAATATTTTGTGAGCCGGGGATATAATTTTAAGACATGTCCTTGGAAAACCCTCATTATTATCTATTTAGATGATATAAGAGTCATAAATGATGAAAATGTTCGGGATTTAAATGTTCCGACTTTTAAACAAGCAGGTTTAAATAATGTAAATTTGTAGCCAAAGAACTCTACCCGGGCTATGAAATATCTGAAAGGAGAGTAAAAACAGAGGATTCTGACTCTACAGCTAAAAAAATTATCCATTATCCAACACAGGGGGAGGGAAATTGGTTTATGTTCCTGTTATAGAATTTTCATTTAAGATTTTGCTGACATAGCAGAGCTCTTATTAAATTTAAAGGGGGAAAAGGCTAGATTTACTACAGTCAACCCTTAAAGTTACATGAAATTTATGCTTAGGAAATTAGGTAGAGAATTTTTGAATAGGGTGTTGTAGATGTCTATTGTGTCTAAGCTATTAACCATGTAGGAATTCAGTTAGTAGGTAATCTCTGACAAATTTTACACCTTTACACACTTGTTCACCTATTACAAATTCTGGATGATGGTGTGAGAAAACAAGTTTAGAAAAGAAAAGAAAAAAAAGCACAAATTGTGAAAGCTAAACTATAGGGCTGTCAGTTAAGTCCTGACACTTTTTTTAATGAAAAACAAAGTTTTGCCATTTTGCCAATGCATTTCATGCGTTTTTTTTTTTTTTTTTTTTTTTTTTTTTTTTTTTTTAAATATATAAAAAATAAATGCACTGTTTTATGTGCTCTATAAAACAATGTATTTATTTATTTTTTTACCGATACACTTTTTGTTCTTTCCAGATCATTAAAATGGATTATCAAGTCGACAAAAAAAACCAGCACCTTCGGCTTTTAATGTTTCATTGAGGTGCCAAAGCCACAGAAGCTGCTCAAGATTTGTGAATGTATGGCAAAGAAGTGATGCCCCTTAGGCCCACATTACACACGCATTTGGTTCACACGAACAACTTGTTTTGCACAATTTTTCTGCCTGGTTTATTATTGCAAGAAAGACACACAATTTTTTACTTCTTTTTGAAAAAATTGCAAGTTGTTCATTTTCAACCAATCGGCTTATTTGTAATGAAGAACCAGTTTCCCATGTGTTAACCTCAAAGCTATCTGTGGTGATTGGCTGTTATGACAAAGCAGAAAAATCGTTCCAGTTTTTCTTCTGAAACAAGCGGATGTGTGATAGTAGCCTTAGAATGGCTCAAAATTGGTTTAGTCTCAAAACTAGCAGTCTCGACCCCAAAGATAAGCACAATATCAGACGATCTGTTCAGTTCGATGAGGAGCAACTAAATCAGCTCATTCACGAAGATTCACAACACATGACAATATATCTCAATTTATTACTTTTTCATCAGACAAAGTACTACTTTTTGACACATTATACAACCACATCTACCCTGCTGTTTCTCAACAACAGTATAAAAATCGGTACTTTTCCGTTTTACTGGCGCAAACGATAAAGTCGCCAATAATGGTACAACTGATACCAACGGAATATCTTCGCTGGTAACATTTTACGCTTCATTTTCAAAATCAATCGCAGCCATTTCTTATCAGATTGATTGTTTCTTTCAATACTCGCATACAATTACATAGAATTTTTTACAAGATATTAAATTTTATGCCCTCAGACCATTCGCAGTAATTAAGTCAATTAGGATGCAACACACCTCTCACCCAAAGGCGAAAATATAGAAAAGGCAAAATTAAGGGTTCATCAATTCTAATGAGAATGCACTAGCGAAGTAATACAGTGCGGTTTTACGTAATTTCTGAGTAAGCTACTCGTACGAATTGAAATAATTCTTGCATTTAAACTTGTATTTCAAATTAAGATTTAACTTGAAATTTATGTAGATAATTACTGAGAGAATTAGATTTTTGTAGTGTAGTTTACGTGAGATGAGATCACTTGGGGTCACGTGATACAAACCGGCGAATAAGGATGTTGAACAATGAAAGTATAGTAAATTCTTAAATTAATGTCTTTTTATAAATTTATTGCCTTTATTTATTGGCTTTTTACAAAATTTTGAAAGCACTTCCGCAAAGGATCCGTTAAATGTAAACATCGCCAAAAATGGCGATAAACGTTCAAAGCTGGTAACCCGGCGAATTGGCAACCTGGTTTGCTTTTAGAAAGAGAATATTTGCCGTATTTTCAGGGTTTTGTTTTGCCGCTGGCTAGTGGTGCGTCAGTACCGGATTAGGTGGTGAAAATCGCTGGAGGTGGGGGGGGGTGAATATAATACGGCTTTTTAGAATAGTATGGCTGTGTTCTTACGTAATTTTTAAAAGGCTTTAAACACACAGAACCACAGGGCTCCTAAAATATTATGATTAAAGCGGGTTAAGTTTAAGTTTTTTTTTAATTACTGTAATTTTTACTAAAATAATAAGAATTAAATTAGTTTTCATGCTTAAAAATTTGATATATTTTTAATGCATTTTTAAAAACTACTTTTCAGAGGATGCTAGGTGTTTATATACAATAGATGATTAGAATGAAAAAAAAAATTATTGGTTCTTTGAGATGACAAAATACTTTTATGTATTCTCAGGGTCATCAAAGTTAGTAAACCACTGTTTTGAGTAATTAATCAAAGTTTGAATGAATCTTGAAAGATAACAAGATGTATAATGTTTATTCTAGTTTTATTTATAATGCTAATTTAAAGGCTTTGAATATTATTGAAGATACTTGGCATTGTCAAATTTATTACGAAAAAGACAGTTGTTTCAAAATAAAATATTTTAAGCTATCAGCAAGTAAATTCAAAAAACAACTTTGAAAAATTGCTCGTGTAAAATGAATGTTTTAAACGTATTTAGTAATGAATCCATTTACCTATTAAATGTACAGTAGCACTAATTATTAAACATAGTTTTGAGAATATTGACAAGCAAAGCATGTAATGAAAAAGACACATTTTACTAAAAATATTAGTATTCTGTATGAATGACAGAGAATATATGTAATGAATACCATGGCCAAATACCTATATAAAGAAAAAGAAACAAACAAAAAAAAAAAAAAAAAAAAAGTAGTATTCTCTACCTCGACACTTGCAAAAGTAATCCTGCTATGCAACACATAGTTAATTTCTGATTACATGATATTGCAAGCATTTTCTTCAGATTTTTCCT